CCTACTAAGCCAATTAAGATATGAAGGTAAATCTCCCACAGATAAAAGAACAGGTTAAGCAACTCCCTGATTCATTTTGTACTAGATTAAGAAAAAAATATTTGGAACTTTACCTCTTGCTGCTTTTGAAGCCTCTCAATAGCATTCTTTTCACGAGAAATCAAGGCTTCTGCCTTTGCTTGATGTGTTCTCTCTAGCTCATGACGCAACTCAGAGATTTCTTTCTGGGTCTGCACTTTCTCCTCCATCTTAATCTTTGCTAATTCAACTTCTTTAAAATGTTCTAGCTTTTACGTAAAGGAAGAAGATAGGGGGTTAAGTAGGGCCATCTTCAAATTGACAAACACAATCCCTCCTCAGATAATTCTAAATTTCACCTAGTAAGTCTTGTTAGGAAATGATAATTCAATGAAAATAAATTACTTTGATAAAAAATATCTTAGCAGCACATACTATTTGCATGTATCACGTATTTTGCATGCATTTATGTGGCATCCCAAAGTAGATCTTACACAAAACTAATAGCTTTAGATAGAAGCAAAACAGAGACTTATGAATAAAAACACACTATAGCACTGATACTCTTCTTGCAATTAAGGCATGGCCACACTCTTTAATTTCTCCTCTGACACTGTCTCTATTCTTGCTCCTTTCCCAAAGAACCACTTTTGACTGGTGATGCAAGAAATGGCAGAAGCAAACCCATTACAAATTGCTAAGAAACAACAGAAATTCATCTGGACACAAAAGAAGTTCCAAACATGTAAAAAAAAAATATGCAGAACTCCACACAGAGGTTTACAGAAACAGAAGACCTGATTCACAGACTTCTTAGCACAACTGAAAAAGAATTAAATGCATACAAACAGGAAAGTACGCATCTGGCAACTGCAAAGAAGAATTGTAGGGAACATGTCTCCATACAATGTGTGAAGTGCAATATGTGCAAGAATAAAAGTGTTTATAAAGAATATGAGAAAAAAAGAGCAGAAGAATAAAAGGCGAATGATAGAAAAATTATGAGACTGGAGAAAACGAGGCTAAAGAGAGGAAAAAGCACAGTAGGAATGTCTAATCTGTGGGCATAAATTTTGTGAAAAAATAAAGAAATGGTAAGACAGTACAGTATCACTTGTACAGACAAACTGGATTAGAAACGTGTTACAGTAACTCACATCATACTGCTAAGGAATTCATATAAGTTAATTGAATTTAGAAATTATTTATAACTGGTTAAGATTCCAATCTCCTTTGTTTCAACTACTTTGCTCAAACAGAGGCAAACTTAATGACACACAAATTAACATGTTTTACATACTAAAAAGGCAGTGCCAGTTGGGCAATAAAGACCAAGTTTCTGGCAATTTTAACTCCCCATCCTCCTACTTGTCTAGCTGAATAAATACGACTCAACTGATTTCATCAAATAGTTTATTTGCGGATGAATGCCTTTAAAAGTGTGTCTAAGAATTTTAACTTATTATCAGAGTGCCATTTCTATATCCAAGTAGACTATTAATCTTGGCAGAAATTGATGGAAAAAAAACCCCACATTTGAATGAACTACAGTTAATTTAGTTTTTTCTAAGCAAAGAATATGTTAACTTTGACAGAAATTTAAGGGGAAAAACATTCCATATTTAAATGAACTGCAGTATATTTTTCTGCTCCATTTTCCAGAAATAAGGATTATTGATGGCTTATGTATCAAAAATAAAATTCTAATTTTATTCACAAAATAAAGGGAAATTCTCTAAAAGAGCTGTCATCAATTACTGAAATAAAAAAAACCAATGCATAATATTGTGTTATAATTTTAGTCTTTCTGTGTAATGTTTTGAAATAGTATGCAAATTCTGATCACTATTAAAAATTGACTATCTGTCAAGCTACACAGCAGCAATTCACACCTCTCAGTTGCTATGCATTACATTGAAATTCAAGCTTCAAAATATTAACTGGGAAGGAAAATTAATAGTATGACTAAGCAGCATAAACATTTCTCTATAAACTGAAATCATCAAAGAGCAAATATAATTTACCAAATTACAACAATCAAAATAAGAAGTTGTGTTGCAAATTAACATCAGAACAAAAAGCTTAACATTCTGTACACATTCAAAAAAAAACCCAAACAAATGGAAAATATACACATGTGATGTCATCAAAATAACAATTGATATTGGATTAACTTAGCCTTTTGTGTTTGTTGCAACTCACTACTAGATTTCTTCTTTCAATTTACATTAAATATTAGAAGTTTGTAATGTGCAAAGTCAAAATTAACAAACACTTCTGTCAAATTCAATGACCAGAGTTATACCTTTTGACACATTTCTGCTTGAAGCTGTTTCTCTATTTCTTTTCTATATTCATGAAGTTTAGCTTCTAAAGATTCGTATTTCTGATGCAGGGGATAAGAGTCTGCAAACTCTTCATCAATCAGCTGAAGCTTCTCAGCTATAAAAAGAGCAATGAATCCATCATAATTTAAGAAAAGACACCATAGTTACCTTACCAAAGATCATAGGAACCTGTCTCTCTGTAGGAAGTTCCTTAGTTCAGCTAAATAGAATTGTCATAGAAAGACAAACCTGTGTGGTACCAAAGCAGAGGCTGCACAGAAATGTCATTTATCAGCTTTGTGCCAGACAACACATGCCTTGGCAGAGGCACTTAGCTGTTTAGGCACTGTGTGTGGTATTAATACATAGTCATTCATCCTCTTTATCATGGATGAGCAAGCATTTTGTTTTGCATGCAACTTTAAAGTGGTTTTTTTTTTACTAATAGCATGTAATGCAATTCAAGAACTCCCAATGTATGCCTGTCACTGAAATACTATTGTAGAAAGAGAAGCAAGACGCTCATTTACAATTACGTTTTTCAGAACATAATGCAGCACACAACATTTATAATCCATCTAAGATGTTACAGGTCTTAGGTAAATGCCTAAGAAAACATTTGAGTGATTAAAAAAATAATAATAATTACAGGACTTTTGCCTTAAGAAAGGTTAGAAAATCAATGTATTAGTGACAGGTATGACTTTTACTTTTTACTACTTCAGGCTGCTTTTGAGTAAGTGATGAATGAATGCCATTCATAGAATTTATAAATCCATACCATTTATCAATATGAAAACATCTGGGGAGACTTGTGTATAGAGTCTTACCAAGACTTACCAAGAGATTCTCTGTAAGGAGCCACTGAGTTTGTCTGAGTTTCTGTGTCATGAGTTTCCTTGCTTAGATGATGCTCTGTAAGCCCGATTAAAATCTGCATAAGAAAACCTGTCAAGATCCAATATATTAGCTAGGTCTGATTTTATAGCAAAATTGAATTTGATACTACACTTAATGAAGTCATTATAATTGTACAAGAAAACCTATTCAATTTATGGAAAGAACCAAGGATTTAAGAAAAAAATCAGTACTAGTAAGATATTAAGATTTTGTTATAAGCATAATCCAGTCCATCTCACTCTACAAAAGTTGTCCTTTTCCAACTTTTCCTTTCATTCGTATCTCTGTCTCTGACTTCCAAGGTCATTAGAGAGAGCAGATTTTTACTACTTTAATTACGAGGTCATTATGTAACAGGGTTTCTGAAGATCAAGCTACTTTAGACTATAAAATATAGCTAGATTTCATCATACAGACATAAGAATTATTCCTTGTATAAAACAATGCAAAGTCAATTAAATCTTTAACTAGTTTTTAAAGTACATTAGCAAACTAATACAATCAATTACAAATACAAATCAAAGTCCAAGTTTGCCAAAGTTAGTGTGATGAGCTTCAAGAGCATTGTACTTCATACCTGATTACAGATTTTTTTCATGTTTCTAATGTTCAAGTCATTTATTTTGTAGGTGAATGTTAAGATTTAATCCACACCACAAATAGGAGTTGGATAATCCTGAAATATACTACTTATCATCCTGGTGTACTGCAAGTTTCAAAATCTGACTGAATCCGTATTATTCCATATCAACATACACTCAAGAAAACTGAATTTCTATTGCTTGCATCTTAATAAAAAGGAACTGATACAATTATCATTGTCTGCATTATGTATAAACATGTTGTACCTTTATTTTCCTTCCGAGTTTCCGAAGTCTGTAAAAAATAAAAGATGTTTTAGACAGTCTATTCCATCACCACTGTATTTTAAGTTTATTTTCAAAATCAAAATAACTTTACCAGTGATTTGTGAAGACTGGACTTTGGATTGATCCTCATCAATTGGAGAAGATCTTGCATAGTCCACAGCTTTGGGAGTGGGAGGAAGTTAGACAAGGTTAACTAATTAAAAATTATTTCAAATCTGTAATAGGCACTATTTTACATTTGTAGACTGTTTTCCATTCGAGAAGGATCCATTTACCACCTTGTAAAACAATTTTCAGTGGCCTGCTATCCTGGTATTTCATTTACTTATTTCCACTACCCAAGACATACAGCAGTCAGCAGGTAGCTACATGATCAACTGAAGCTACAAAAAGAGACAGTTTAGTTTCCTCCCCACCCTGAATACATGCTTTTGCTGCTCTTCTTGCCCCTTTTCTTGATTTATCATACCAATCAGATGAGCTCACTAACCACTAACTATTCACCAGGTCAAAAAATTAATTTTCAGTTAGAAACAGCTTCACCCCATCACATACTCATAGAGAAGAAACAAAGAGAGGTCAGGGACTGTCATTTTCAGCCACAACTTCTGGGTAAAACAGCTTAAACTGACTATGAACCACATTTTCAGGGAACTGAATGGCCAAACAAGAGGTCATCTTTAGTCAGGATCAATTTCCCAAGTGCTCTGTCACACAGTCTCACAAATAGTCATGCCAGACTGTGGCTATGGGTAATGAAGCAAGTGCAATTTTAAGAGGCTTGTGCCATCTCTCTCCAGAAAAGCATCATTAGCTTATTGCCAGTATTCATGAAAACAGCCCTGAATAATGAAATCCTTTATGGAGATGATCAGAAGCTGCATTTGTGTTTGTATTTCACTACCATAAAAAGAAATTTCTTTTTTTTAATTTTCTTGGAATATGACAACCCCCAGAAAGCAAAGCTCCCACAAGTCTTAGAAGAGGTAAATTACTGAACTTACCTTCTTCTTTTCTAATCCACTTTCTGGAAAGAAAACAGAAAGTGAATACTCATAGCCACATCTTTGTAGATGATCTGCTACCAAACTGTTGGAAGCTGTGATCAAAAGTGAACTGCCTTCACTTGTAACAGCCTGTGGCTGAAGTTCTCCATTTAAAATTGGGTGCATTAGTTCATGGATTAGCTGGTTTCGGAGCTGTGTCTGAGACAGAAAAGACGTTATAATCTCAGTTTACATGCTATTCAATGAAAGGTTTCATTTTTCAAAATTCACAGTGAGTCTCATGTTACTTGTACAAGTTACGTTACAAGCTACGTAACAGAAATGGGCAGACTAGCTTTGACAAAATGTAGAACAGTGCTTGGGTCACTATGCCATTCTTCAAAACATTCCAATGGTGGCTACGGTGAACTTTGACTTTCTCTCACAATGTATCAAATGTAGAACTGAAGAGAAGTATTGTTCTGTCATGAACTCACATAACCTCTACTCTAGTACCCCCAGCTTCAGTTTTAGATCACTACCTTCCTGTTCTCCTTCTTGCTGGAGTAAATAAAGCCTACTTGATGTGGCCTCAGTTTCAGGTATACTTGGAAAACTCGCTAGTCCTATTCTGAGTCTCATATCAAGAAGGTGCCAACACCATCACAAAAGCAGATAGGAAAATAAACAGGAAATTCAATGTCTTTAATATCAATTATTTTATAGGGAAGCAAAAGAGTATTAGTTAAAAAGGCATACAGGCACTAACAATAATGAAATTGCATTTTTTATTCATTATTTGCATTCTATAAATTACAATAGTGAAAAAAAATTAATAAAAAAATCAGAAAGTCTCCCTCCTAGAAAAGGAAGATATATAATTTTTATTATGTAATTACAGAAATTCTTTATACTGTACTAAAAGATTACAACAGAAATAGTGTTTTAAGCTTGCAACAGCTGGTATGCAACAGTGACAAATTTGATTAAAGAAGCATCTTACAAAAATGGGACAAAATACTTACCAAAACTTTATAAATCTAGATCATCAGACCAGCCTGATATTTTAGCATGGCTTTCTACAGAAATTAGGCTGATAACAGAAAAAAAGACAACTGAAAAAATGTTTTCCTTATTAATTTCTGAACTTGTCTGATTTCAATCAACTTAGACAGAAATGATGTTATCTCAAAACCAACTGAGACCAGCAACATCTTACACATCTTGTGACAAAGCATAGGTGGAAAACATAGGGGTAAATCCCCATCCCTACTATGGGAAAGGAAGACAGAAATCAGCTGTTTACATGCTGGCCATTCAGCATACCTGCAGATCCACTCTGCCTCTTACTGGCAGAGGCAGCCAGATAAGACCACAAGAAATTTGAGAGCATTCTCATTAGAAGATGTAATCCATAAGAAATCAGTAAGAATCCATAACTGAATTAATCCTTCAGTTCAGAAAAAGTAAAACTGTATACTCTTCTAGACATGGAAAATGAAGCAGGAAAACAGACTTAAATAGCTTGCCACTTGACAGACTATTACAAGACAAGAAATGGTTCAAGAACTGCAAGCTTTTTTTTCACTGAGGGAAAAACAAGTTGCCCTGAAGAAGAGAATTGTTGGCCATAAGATTATCAATGGCAATCTTAAAATATAGATTTTTTTTTTAAAACTTTAATGAACTTGACATAAAAAGCAGGAGCTAGAAATTTTGCTGGTGACAAAGATGCATACAGAAGTACAGAAAGATCAAGACTCAAAAAAAAAAGCAATCAGATGATTTTTAAAGACTAGCAAATAACTGAAATTGCATGAAATACATTTCAGCATTTAAAGCCTGATACAAATTTCTGCAGTAACACAGGGTATTCATTGTTTGGAAAAAGTAAGACGTGGTTGTAACAATCAAATAATGACTAGCACTCTAAATGTAACATGCTTAAAGAAGACATATATGCAGCCTTCCACAGACTCTCCCACAGAAATAGGAAAGAATTAACACCATTTTAAACTCTGTCTGGAAAGCTCACAACAATCACAATCTGATTTCTTTAAAAAAAAGGGCGAAAGACTTCAAAGTGATGCAGAGGACTGCTAGGGTAACCAGCAATAAGACTACTGCCCCTCGACTTGCTTAGCATTGAAGAACAGAATCTTGAAGAAAAGGTGTGACTGCTGCCTGTAAATTATTAAGAACAGTAAGAGCTATGTAAATTGAATGAGACTTACAGCACAATAAAAAGGCCAGAGCAACCATAAACAAACCCAGGCTACAAACCAGACCAAAGTTTCACTCTTGAGCACAATGATAGCCTTAAGACATTCTCCTGAATGAGCAGACAGGAAGAAACCAGCTCAATATGATTCCAATAGTTTTAAAACAGAGCTGTAGTATTTTTGGAGAATAATTCCTAGACTCTGTGACCTATGAAATCCTTTCCAATCCTGTATTTTCATTTATTCCTCTCTCCTCTGCTTGACTTCTTTTGTCATGCATGGAAATTCAAAGACCTGATGTAAAACTTTAGCCTCTCTGAAAAAGACCCAGAGACTAATCCACACCGAAAAACCTGAACACAAATTAGGCTGTGACAAAAATAATACATTTGGGGAGAGTGGGAAACACATTTATTCAGCATGACTTTTACCGCTTTCAGTGTTAAGCACTACAGTGAACCACAGGCAGCACCTGCTGAGAACAACGCACACCTTAAGTGTGTCCAGTACACCTCGGTTCTTAAAAGTCTGATAGAGCCTTTTCCGGAGTTCATCCTGGGACAGTGTCTCCTTTTCGACCGAAGCCATCCTGCCCTACAATACCAGGAAACAGAAACAAGGAAACAAACAAAACAGGAGCATTACTGAGTCCCAGCTCGATCCACGGCCGGCGAGTTGCCCCATCTGCCCGGCCTCCCGCTTACGCAGGCCCAAGCTTTGCCGGGCAGCCCCTGCTACCCACGGGGAGGGCGGCAGGCCCAGG